ACTCGGTACAAAATTCAGTATTTCAAGAGCCGCAATGCATCTGAGTACATACTGTACTCACGTACATATTGTCAAGAAGCAAGCCCGTAAAGAGCCGCATGCGGCTCCGGAGCCGTAGGTTGCCGACCCCTGGTGTAGGCTTTCACGGTTCAGCTGTACAGCTCTCTGTCCGAAGTTTCGCTCCACGTGCTGGCTGGAGCTTCTTCAGGGACTGAACTCAACGATGTTGTAGTACACCCGGCAACACACACACCAGGGCCATACATTTATCTTTGCTGTTGACAAAAAAAAGAACACGATGGCTCTGCATTTTAGACAAGTGAAGGAATTTAGTAGAACAATAACATTGACTTTTTTTCCCATTAAATTTTTTTTTCAGCTTTGGGTAATCGTAGGGTAAGTGTAAGGGTCTATTATGCCCAGAGGGGATAAGATGTGTACAAGAGTTGCCTCTGTATAAAAGCATGTTTCTTGAGAATATGCCTGTGAGTATGCTCACATGTCTATCTGTGTGTGTCTGCAAAGTGCACCTGGCCTGGCACACAGCCTGTGGTGACTGTCATCGTCACTCAGTGGCGAATGACGGCTGTTGTTGTGTGTGTCAACATATGCACGGCCATGTAGGTACTGTCGCCCTCCAACAACAGCGAAAGGCAGAGGAGCAACGCTCACAAAAACGAGCGAAGCTTCGGGTGGCTAAAACACAGCAAGCTGGCACAGTCGGGAGCACAGGTGGTGCATCTGCCAGTCATCTCGGTCAGTCACCCATGGCACCTGGGTCCGTCCCGTGACCTTCTGCCAGCGAGCCTTCGACGCTTGACGTGGCCTCAAAGTGCACCTAGCCTGGCACAAGCATGGCGGTGACGTCACGACCATTTAGGGGCGAATGGCTACTGTTGTTGGTCAAAACATGTTTAATGCCATGCTTAGTAAACTGCGTTTTTTTTTAAAGGAAAGAGGCAATTTAGTTTTCTCTCGACGTGGCACCTGGTATTAATGAGCACTTTTCGGCACTAATTTACTACCCTATGTGCAAATTTAATTAGAAACATTGAAATTGAAAATGTAGCACTGCATTCCCTCCTATATTTTACACTTATCTTGCATTCCTCTGCTACATATTTTACTCCAAATGTCAAATATCCCATTTACTACACACTTCAAAAGGCAAAGTTGTGATTATGTGTGTCTGTTCAAAATGTTGAGCGTACTTCCCGACATGCAACAAACTTGAAATTTGCCATTTGGGTACTTTCCAGACTGTACACCATGCAAAAATTATAAAAAATACACTTTTTCATTGGGGGGGGGGGGGGGGGGAGCTCAACAATGCATACATTTTTTTCATGGCAAGTGAGTTGTGACATCAAATCTGTCATGTGACCCGCGCATGTGGAAGCGTGACGCATTGTAGTGTAGCGGGTAGCGCGCTGCGCTAAGAACCTGACGACCCGAGTTCGATTCCCGCTCACGGCCACCACCGGTGACGATTATTTTAACCGGTCCTGGGCCTCCCCTAGGTCGACTCAGCCTCAAACGAGTAACTGGTGTGGGAACATCGCCATTGGGGAGACAAAGGCGGCCGGGCGTCGTGAATCCAAGTCTCGGGCGAAGCCAGGTAGTAAAGCTAGTTATATATATGTAATAATCTTCCAGGAGACGGCTTCGGAATCGGTCCTTTTATTTCCACTCCACCATACACTTTTCTTACTCACTCTCCGTTGCTGGCAGACAACGGAGAGAGAGGACAGACTCCACACGAAGTTCCCTTCGCGCACGTGGCAACCCGAGGCCCCGTCCACACGTGACCCTGCTTCTGTTATTTTCAGTCTGCTCTCGATCGTTCCCTCTCGCTCGCTCTTAAGACCTTCGTCACGTGGTTCCCCCAGCCAATCATGTATGGACAGCTCTCACCATTCTCGATGGTTCCCTGTCAATCCCGGGACCACGCCCCTCATCCGGCTCCCCATTCGCTGGGGCCCCGAATGGCTAGGCCAATCACTTCCGATGACCTGTCGTGATGACGCATGGGCCATGGTCCCAATCTCAACCCTTATTGGCTACGAGCAGGACCGGCAAGCCAATCCCCACGTGAACCCTCTATGGCTGTTATTACATAGATATCCATGCCTGAATGATCAAGCGAGGCATGGACAATTAGATGTCTCTACTGATAGTCATGGGCTCGTTGCGGGAAAATCCACATTCTTATGACAGGGACAAGTGCCTGTATATGGTGTGATCGCTGCTGACTTCCCACAATGTGGCGCTCACCAGGTGGTTGCCTGCTTTATACACCCTGGAGGAGATGATGGGCCGAGCCAACTCGAGCCACAATTTTAAAATCACGATTGTGCCCGCGGCCCTTCATACAACTTCCCTTGCATGCTCAGCTATCCAAACACAGCCGACAAAACAAATAGACACATCCGCGTTTTAATAGCGCGATTGTCTCTCACCCAGCCTGAGCAAACACGGGTGCGGTATTTATTTACGCGCATGCAACAACAACAACAAAACCAATACGCTAATTATCTTCCTTCGAGAGACACACGGACGATTGGGTTGCAGGCAATGCAGGGAAAGCGAAGCTTCAGATCTGTCCACGCGGGAGATATCACTCCGATCGCCGACTCTGCAGAATTAAGGATCAGCGGTGCCATCTCTCTCGTGTGCGGAGCACCCACTTGCAGATCTCTCCCCACCAACCCCCGCCACCCCCCCAATTGTAGGTATGTTGGGGGGCCTGTCTGCGGGGGTGTCTGTTTGGTTTTGATGTCTGCGCGTGGTGCGTGCGGGCGCATGGAGACGCAAGCGACGGCAGATGGGCATGTCTAACCCCCCTCCTTGGCCCTAATTATCTCCCCTCAGTGGGGGGGGGGGGGGGAGTGTGCCGCCTCGTATGGGTTTTTGCACAAACAGAAGAAGAATAGGAAAAACCCGTTTACGCAAACATAGATAGATGTGTGTGTGTGTGTTCATATGCGGAGTTTGGCGCGGGGAGATGCTGCCACTGTGGCGTTAATGGTCAGCAGCGCGCTGGACCAGCGACCCAGAGAGGTCTCGGGTGCGACTGAACCTCCCGGCGTGGCAGGGGAAGCAATGGGGCACGTTTTCTAAAGCCCTCCCGATTAAAACGTTAATTTTTTATGTATCCCCATATGTCGAGGAGCAACGTCTCCTTGTATTTGATTTGGCTACATTCCGTCACGACGACGCCGATCGTTGTTGTGTGTTGCGCGCCACAATAGGGCCCATCGGCAAAGTCGCGTTATGGTGAAGTTGTTGGTAACGCATGAACGTCAAGTTCGTACTTTGGAACTTCTTTCGCACCGTACGTAGCTGACCGTGCTCATTGGAGGCGCGGTGCGTTTCCCATCTCTTCCGAGGCGTTCTGGCCACGGTGGCAGACGGAGTCGGCCAAAACGCATTCTAGAGATGGGGCCTTTCTGGAACTCCCTCTCGTTGAGATCCATACACCAGCAGCAGCGGCGTGACGAAGCCATTGCAGGGGCTGCACCTTTAGCTTTTGTTTTTATTTGTTACGTATCATAGAAGAAAACAAAACATACACAGAGATATGTGAAGTGACTGTTACGGGCCGGGGGGGGGGGGGTTAGGAATACAAATAGATGTTTAAAAATAATAATAATAAAGAAATTGCCAAAGCTGTAGGCGGACAGCTGGGGGAGGCAACGTAATGATGATTGAACGAGACAAATGTAATTTGCATGCGAGGAGGGGGGCGGACGCGGGGGGGGGGGCGGTTCATGCATGTGTGAGATATTCTTCTGCTGGTGATTGAGATACGTCCGTTGATGAAGCGCCACGGTTTAAAGTGCTCGGAGTGTGTGCTTACTCGTGAAAATTCTGATCTTGTCAGCGTTGCCGTGGTCCTCGGTGCGTGCACGCGTAGGCTTATCGTAATTGTATCTTAATTTTCCCTTTCTGCGATTGAATGTGTTGCGAGCAGAAGTAACGGTGCCTGGGGACCTTACATGTGTGCCCTCCGTGTTCCCGTGTGTGTGTGCGGCGTGCGTGACCGTGCACGTATGTTTCGTTTCTCCGCCTGTGTGGGATTGTGCGTGTGTGTGTTTGATTGAGTCCGGGGAGCGGTGGTGTAGCGGTTAGCGCTACGCTGTGCCACGAACCCGGCGATCCGAGTCTTGATCCCGCTCACGGCCACCAACACTGGTGACGATTATCATCTGAACCGGTCTTGGGCACTCCCCTTGGTCGACTCAGCTTCAAATGTGCGGTGTGTAAAAACATCGCCACTGGGGAGGCAAAGGCGACCAGGCGTGGTGCTGGCCAGCCACCCTTACCCGTGTGCCGTGCCGGCCTTCATATGTGCTCGCAAACAGCACTTGCCCCAACAGTCTCTTCAGGCTACACGGGAGATCTTTGTCTTTGCGGTGGAGAGTAGTGTGGCGGCGGTTCGCGCACTGCATTAAGGGCCCTGCGACCAGAACTCCATTCCTACGCACGATTTCGGCTCATAACAGTGACGAATATTCGAACCGGTCCTGGACCTCCCCTAGCTCAGCTCAGCCTCAAATGAGTACCTGCTGCGGTGCGTAAACATCAGGGCAGGGGAAGCGGCCGGGTGTGGTGTTGACCAGCCACTACCCCCTTGTGTGCCGGTGTCAGCCTTCAGTAGGTGCTACCCGTTAACAAAATTGTCTGTTGAAAGCTCAACGGGGGCAGTGGGGTGTGGGTGGGAGGGATGTTTGTCTTTGTATGATTTGCCTGAAAACCGACGATAATGAAATGACAAATGGTACACTTTAGTTAAACAATCGGAGGCCGTTGGGGTCAAAGGTTTAAACATCCAGCTTTTACGTGACTAAAGGGATGGGGGAGTGGGTGGCTTAGAGTGGGGGTGTGGGTATTTTAAGGACACGATGACAGCCATGAGCTCGCAGCATTCGAATGACGTTTTATATTCAACAAATAAAAACAAACTTCGGGAGTGTGTGTTTTTTTTTATTGGACCGTTTATTTTCAGCACAAAGGAAAGGTACACTTTTCATTAATTATTCACACGATTTGTTTTTTTGTTTCCCCCCTTCCTCCTCTCCTTTTTTGTGCAAAACATTTAAATGCACACACGGGCTCCCAAAGCGACTCATCAGGGAGATACATCAAGGCACACGCTGCCATAAGGCAATCAGATATTTTGGCTTTGGTTGATAAAAAAAAAGCTACCGCTTTAAAAAGTAAATAAAATAAACTAAAATACAGAGGCAGCAATAATGACACAGACGATTGTATAACACTCCAATCAATGCACCAAAATTAGGATTAGATTTTGACGTGTAAAAATGCAATGTTATTTAAATGAAGGAAACTTCCCTTAGGCCAATGTAAACGTAACCTTAGCCTGACCTTTCGTAACTCTCTGTGTGTGTGTGTATATGGGTATGCATGCTCGTGTGTGTGCGCGCGCATGTATTTGCGTGCCGTAATTCATGCGTGCTTGTTAATCTGTAGTGATCGTCTGCCATGAATATGTATGAATTCCTGCGTGGATGTGTGTGTGTGCGTGCAGTTGCGTAAAATTAAGAACCAATGCATATTAGCAAATTTTGGCCACATAAATTGAAGTATGTTTCACCGAAATTATATATATTATCTTGATAAGTATATACATGTAGCGAGCACGTTCTTACACTACATCAGAATAAAAAATAATTTTAGGCTTGACACCCACTGAACTGTGAACGGTAAGGGAATAAATAGATTAAAAAAAAAACGTGGGTACGGAGAAACGCAACGTCCCTCTGCATAGCCCCTCAAAAAAATCTTCACCCACCGCCATCCTCCGCAGTCTCCGGAAAAAAACCAACAAAGAGCGGTCTCCGAACCAACGTGACCCGTTCATAACGCGTGGCGGCACAGGACAACCCCGTCTCGACTGCCGTGCGTCGTGCGCAGAGAACATTGCGAGACCGTTGCCGCGTGCGCCAGGGTCGGACGCATTTTTGTCCGCGCGAATCGACGTCGTGCGGGAGACGCCTTTTCGTTCGTACCCGAGGCTCGTCACCGCTGCTCTCCTTTTGTGAACCTTCTCACAGTTGCAGTTGCGGAAGCTGCAAATGGAATCATCTGAGCCGCTAATCTCCCGTCCGCCCCCGGTGTGTGTGTGTGTTTCTTTTAAAACAATCACAACCATTTGCTCTGCTCTGCCGCATGAAATGGTGTGGATCATGGGGGACCGTGCGAGATTTGCTGTACCTTGGGGGAGGCAGAAGCAAAGTGTAATAATCACACCGCTACTCTTTTTTGTTACCGAACACCATGGTGGGGTGAGCAGGAAATTGCGGTGATGCAGCTTTTTTGCCACTTTCAATTTGAGGCTTCCCCTTCTGCCAGGTAAACAACAGCCATCTGCTTTCGAGGGTATATGTTTTTTTGGGGAACACAAGTCCAAGTTTTATAAAGCGTCCCCGCGGACGATTACAATTGACGTGCCTTAAAGTTCGCTTGTGGGCCAGGGCCCAAAAATTGAGGACACCCACAGCTTCATAACTCACCGCATTCCAGGCTTTAGACGCCTACACTTTTGCTTCAACCGATCGTCAATGCCACGTCTGAGTGGGAGAGACGTCTTTTGACCCCGATCAATTCACGAGCAAAGTGAGTCGAATGTCTTGCGATTCGCGCGAAATGTAGACTGGACTCCCTCCCCCCCCAAAAAAAACACAAGAATGCCTGACGTCTGTCTTGCTGAAAGCATTTGAACGAAAACCTTACGGATAATTAATGACAGCAGTGTTAATAACAATAGTAATAATTTACATGAGGACATATTTTCGGGTAGCGTGTACTTAAACAACAAACAAAATATTGGGAGATTTTCAATGCCTTCAGCTGTTCCCTCCCCCCTTCATTTGATTACAAAAAATAACGACTTGCCTTCACGCCCCAGCAGACGCAGAGAGCAGGCAAAGCACCTCTTCGACGAGCCTGATTGTGGCTGGGGTGTCATCGCTATGCATTTCTGCTAAGATCACAAGTCTCCGTACCCTGCTGAACGCTTGTTAAGTGTAAAAAAAAAATACCCCCCCAAAAATGTGAAACTCCATGCGGTGTAAAATGGAAACGTGAATATGTACAGTGCTTCCATTCAAATGCAATCGATAGCGCTATACTCATGGTCATTCGGTCGATGTGTGTTGATCATTGCCATTGGCTTGAAAAACTGCATTCCAGTAACCCTGCAGCAACAGTGCATAAATATTTAAAACAGATTCTTGATTTTTTTTTATACAGCAGTCTTATCTCTGGACAACAAAAGCATACGCAACTTTTTTTTAAATCGTATTTCCCCAAATAGGTTATCGAAGCAAAGGCTGTTTAAACATTAAAAAATAAACCAGCCTTAAGTGTTATTTACCTAAATAAGCTTTTACAAATGCAGCGAACGTTACCTTATAGTGTTTTATGCACAACGAACAGCGAGCGATAGCTTTCGGCACCTTTATGTAAGCAACATAAACCACTCAACCAAAGGTAACACATTTGTCAATTTTAAAAATACCCATAAACCACACTAAAAGTCCAAGTGCTAATAAAACGTGTACAGTTTCGTCCTATAGAAACAAAATAATTGGTTCCAGTTTTCGACAGTCCAGTGACATATTAACAATATAAAATATTTGATACATTGCTGTCGTGTTCAGTTGTATTCATCTTCTTGTTCCTTCCCACCCGCCTCTTGTTTTGTTCTTCGTGAAACGTTTCGCGTTATATATTTATGCCGTCGATTAATTTTGCCTCTCTCTGCTTTGCATCGACAAGTCTGGGTACGTACTCCCGTGCGAGCGGCGTGATTATCGTCGTAGCCCTCCTGCTCTGTGCCACCTTAGCGACGCTATTATTATAACAACAACAACAACAATAATCTGTTATTATGGGGAAGCATGACGGGACGCATCACGTGTGCGAGTAGTCAGAGTCCGGAATCCCGCTGTCCCTGTAGCTGCGGTTGCTGCTGTTGCTGCTATTGCTCGTGTCCCGCTGGTAAACCATGAGCTCCCCTCCGCGCGCCGGCGGGAAGATGGTCCGTATGGCGTACGCCGACTTGGCCACGCCGGCGCAGCACGGCTCGTTGAGCGGCACCGCCTCGAAGCGCGTCTCGCAGATCTCCAGGATGGAGCCGCCGCCGGGCTTGGTGGCCGGCTCGTAGTAGCCGACCTCCGCCCTCTCGTCGTTGTCCTCCTCGTCCTCGTCCCCCACGTCGCCCCCGTCCTCGGCGCGTCCGCGGCTCCAGCTCTGGCGGCGGCCGCCCTGGCTCCACGCGCGCCCCCGGCCCCTCGCCGGGCGCTGCTGCGCGCGCCCGTACAGCGGCTGTCCCGCGGAGCGGCGCGACCCGCCGTGGCGGCGGTGGTGGTGGTGCACGTACCAGCAGAAGGCGGCGAGCAGCGCCACGAAGAGGGCCGCCGCCACCGCGCCGCCCACCATCCCGGCGAGCGGCAGCAGCGACGGCTGCTGCTGCCGCGGCCGCTGCTCCTCGCCGCCGCCGCCGCCGCCGCCGGGCCCGACCGCCGACGAGGCCGCCGCGGGGCCCTTGCCCGGGTGCCGCGCCCCGGCCTTCTGCAGCCGCGTCGTGTCGACGTTCACGCAGGTGCCGTCCGCGGGCCGCTCCTCCGCCGTGCCCTGCTCCTGCGCGAACTGCCCGCGGCGTTGGACCCCCTTGGCATGCGGCAACGGGGTGGCGCAGATCCGATAGGTGGAGCGCGGCTCCAGGTTGGCGATGAGGAACTCGCCGGCGCCCAGCACGGTGGCCTCGTGGCTGTCGAGGTGCGGCTCGCTGGCGGACGGCGGGGGGCCCGCACCCCTGGCGGCCAGGCCCAGCCGCACCCAGCTGACGCGGTAGGCGGCCGTGGGCGACGAGCGCGCACCCGCGTCCTGCCAGTGCAGGCGCACGCTGTTCTCCCTGTCCGGGCACGGGGAGAAGACGAGCTGCGTTCCGTCGGACATCGGAGCCGAGATCGTGCCTGGCACGTGGATCCTCGAAGACGAGGAGATGACCTTGGCGTGGCCGCCGCCCCCGCCCTCCCTCCCGTACGTGAATACGGACGACGACGTGGAGGAGAAGTCATCGGCTTCCGTCAGCACCGTGGCCAGGGGCATGGGCGGAATGCCGGCCGGCGCCATCCCCTTTGAGATGCCGATGCAAGAAATCTCCTTGAGGCCAAAGTCACGGATGAGCGTCCCCTTGAACCGCTCCGGCGTCTGGCACGTGAGCCCTCTCGCGTTCACATTGGGTCTGCTCCGCAGCCAGTTCCGCAGCCAGATGAGGCCGCAGTCGCAGTGCCATGGGTTGTTGCACGCCGACAGGTGGCTCAGGGACTCGAGGCCGTTGAAGGAGCCCTGCGACAGGCTGCGAAGCCCATTCCCGGACAAGTCGATCCTCTGCAGCTGCTTGAGGCCATAGAAGACGCCGGGCGGAAGGCGCGAGATCTGGTTGTCCTGCAGAATCAGCTTCTGCAGGCCAAGCATGGGCAGGTGCGTGGGGACGGTGGTGAGAACGTTCCGAGCAAGCGACAGCTCGGTGAGCGACGGCAGCCCCGAGAAGGAGGAGGCCGAGATGCTGGCGTCTCCCAGGATGTTCCCGTCGAGCGCCAGGCGGCTCAGGTAGGTCAGCTGGCCGAAGATGCGGTCGGGGATGCGCGAGATCCTGTTGTCGTCCAGCCGCAGCTCCTCGAGGCCCCTCGGCAGGCCGCGGGGGACGCTGCTCAGGTGATTGCGGGAGAGGAAGAGCAGCTTGAGGCGCGGCGTCCCGTGGAACGTGGCGGGCTCGATGCCGGCGCTCGACACGGAGTTGTCGTTCAGGTGGAGCTTCTCGAGGAATGGCGTGCGCTCCAGCACCACGCCCGGCACCACCTCGATGTTGTTCTCCTGCAGGTGGAGCTCACGCAGGTTCGGGGGCAGGTGCGCCGGGAACTCCTCCAGCTGGTTGTCGTACAGGTAGAGGACCTCGACGGACAACAGCGCCTGCAGCATGGTGGGAAGGCCAGCGTTGGTGATGCGGTTGTTCTGCAGGTAGATGGTGGTGGCGTCTCGCGGCAGCCCGCTCGGCACGGCCGTGAGACCGCGGTCGTTGCAGTAAATAAAGCCGCTGTTGCATCGGCACACAGCCGGGCACGAATCCGCAGCCGTCTCGGGGCACAGCAGCAGCAGCAACTGCAGCAGCAGCAGCGAGTGCAGCAGCGACTTGTGTGTTGATGGCACGAGGGAGCCGGGCCCGGCCCGTTGTGGATTCGGACATCGTGAGCGCCTCGACGACGCGCCGCGGTGACATCCGACCCCGCCGGCTCGCGTAGCCGTCGGGTTCCTCCGTGACAATTCGCGTCCAGGGGCCGCGCCGACGGAGTGACCCGTTCCCGCCGCCATGTTGGGCCACGTGCGCACCACGCGCTGTCCACCTCGCAAAGTCCCTTCCTTTAATGGCAGTCGTTAGTCAGCACTCGGACGAGACGGATTGGGACGTCACGGATAATGTGCGCCAGTGGCCTGGTTCCATTCATCGCCTCTGCAGGCGAAAGATGGTGGGGGATGGCGGGTGGGGTGGGAGTGGGGGGGGGGGACATCAAAACATTCATTAGCATCCCTGCAAAGTGGCCCTTGCGGCACGCCGAGAGCCGCTTTCACTTTGTCCTGCCCACTAATTGGCTGTCTGGTCCGCCCCGGGCCAGCCAGCGGTTGGGATATCATTACTGCCACAACATCGCTATCGAGATAACACGTTGTCACCGGGGCAGCGGATGCTTGCGCTGGGCTCTGTGAAAGTACACGGAAAAGAGAAAAAAAAGAAGGGAGTGAAGGAGGGTGGGGGAGGGGGGGCGCGGAGGGAGGGTTTGCCGGGGGCGAAGAGAGTTGTCAGAGCAGATGCCCATGTCCTTTGGGCAACTCCGTCGGTGGCCGTTACCAAGAAGCCCGTGACAGGCCGTCTGGCTCTCGATCAGCTAAAGTGTCAATTGTGGAATGCGCGTCTCTCCTGCATCGGCCTTCTCAACAGAGCGGTGCCATTGCGGCCTCTTTTAAGGGGGCATCACGGCGAAATTCGTCATTTTTTTCTCTTCAATGTGAAATAATTAGCGGCTAGAGTTCGACTCGACAAACGTTCCGTTGGAGCTTGCAAGGAATAATTTTTAATTAAGGGCTAATGAAGTTTCGTTGTTGTTAATATCGTTGTGGATTTTTTGCTGTTGATGGCTGGAAATGATTTTGTACAGTAAGAGCATTGTGGTTGATTGAGCACTCTGGTCGCATGAGTCAGTTGTGCGCAAAGAAGTGACTCGTTTATGTGTCCCGCGCTCTCAAATAACGTCCCCATTGTCTATCCCCCTAAATCGCCGTCATCTCTCGGAATACAGAGCCGCTTTGAATGTAATCGAGAAGGATTCGGTAATAAATCATTATCAATAATAAAATGGACAGCTCATTTAGTGCTTAATAAACAAACGTCCCGTTTAATTTTTGTAAAAAAATGAAACTAATTTGAGAATACGCATGTGCCAGCAGGGGCCATACGTATCAGAATTACGGTCACACAAACGAACGTGTTAAATTAATTGGGAGTGCCTAGCAAAAAAAAAAACTACCATTTTGAAAATAACTCCGTTGTTAAGATCAGCCAGGGGTAAAATTGTTGAGAAGCAACGATGCCTACTAATGTTATAATGGTATGTTGGTTTTCAGCAACTGAACACATACAATGACCTTGTTACACTACGCAGAGGCGCCGAATGATAAACGACCACAGCTGTCACAATAAATCATGAACCCATACCATGATGCAGCATCGATGCAGCAAGCATCCAACTAGACAAAGACATCAGCAGCATTGTTCCAAAAAAATAATACCAGAAATATTACACGAGGATGGGGGGTGGGGTAGGGATGTGGGTGAAAAACCGTGGCAAAGCGAGACAGAGGGGGAGCAAAATAAAAACCAACGCGTACCTTCGTCCGATGTTATAAGCACGCCTGTTCGTGCCTCGAGGAGGGATTCCCACTGGAAGCAAATCCTACGGACGTGAACCCATCGCGCTGTCGACATGCACGGGGGTCTATTTCTACGAAGATCCTCTGCGCCGACTAGCCCACCCAACTCCGCGCAGAACGCTCTACGTAATATGTGTTGGTGTCCGTAGACGTTTCTGTGCCGTGGCGACGATAATATGATTGTAAGCCGGGCTGGCAGTTGGTCTGTGTCGGCACAACCGAGCAAAGCTTGTTACCCGAGGGCACGCAGATGGGTGGGTAGGCCGGCCATCGTTAGACACATTTTTTTTTACAACGAGCTTAATGCTCACATCACATTATTGACTTTTCGAGTCCCTTTGCTCGCATCCTTGGACCAAGCAGAAGCCTGAGAAGAAAGTGCCTCCTCCCGAGGTAATAACGTGGTTTGCTCGCTGGCTCCTAACGCTTCTCCCCCTCGATCAGAAAGGCTCACTCGCTGCGTGAGCCCTCACAGCAACTATCATTCCGCTCATCCCGTCTCCCCCAACACCCCACCACAAAGTGACCGGTCGCTGTCAGTGCCCCCCCCCCTCTCCCCCGCGCGAACGTGGGTGGGCTTCAGCTGCAGCCGTTATTCCCTGCCAGTGAGTGTTGCGTGTGTAGAGTGGAGGAGGCTTTGCACTCCTTTGCTCCCAACACCCAGTCACATCCCGTCCTTTTCAAGCACGCCGCCGGTGACCTGCTCCACGTGCCTCTTTGCACGAAACCTTGCTCGGCTGAAGATCCGGCGGAAGATGATTTTTTTTTTAGCCTCTACTCGCCGGGAGCGAAAGGAATTATGAACCCAATAGGCTTGAAGTTTTGAAGAGCGTGGTCACACGCTGACAAACCTACTTCTCGTCTACGTGTATATTATTATTATTATTATCCCTTACCAGTATTTCTTTTTTTTCCTCCTGACTCCCTTGGCCGTCTGTATCTTAACCCCGGCTTTCACAATTTTATTTTTTAAAACGAACGAAAGGGCGCTGGGGAGTGTGCATCGGCGGCAAGACTCGGCACGGCAAAATTTGGGTGGATGAAAGCGCCACTTGCTACCTGCGCTCTAATGCAGTGTAGTTTGCCTGCAGCACTTACACACCAGCGTGCTCTCTCGCCCAGTGGCTCTCTCTCCCTCTCCTAATGCGCCAATCCAATTTTAGTCTCTCCTGTTAACACACATTTTGTGAACAATAAAAAAAGAGTACTCGCATGCGCACACGTGTGCATGCGAGAGCGCGTTTAATTACTACGCCCGGTGCACATTAGTTGTACTTGCTCACTGCTAAATAAAATATATGATGGTTACGCGTGTAATATGCCAATGGCAAGGACAAGCTGCATTAATTAAAATCAGCGTTCTACAAAAAACGTTCATTGTCACTTGCCGGCCGGCCGTGTTGTGCGTACGACTGCATTGGGCACTCTCACTCATCATGATCATTCACGCAAAAAAATGTTTAAACCCCCAATTTATTATTTTACTATTTGTTTCTCTTCACTAACCCAGAGTGCTATTTTATCTTTCCTACCGTTATCTTTAACCTGTAATTCTCCTCTCGTGAAGGGATGCCTTTTTATCTTTTTAATATTCGAAATAATAAAAATCGTGGAAATGTCACATATTTCTCCACTGCGATAATCTCTTTCTGCTGTCTCATCTCTCTTCTTAATCACTGCCCACACTTCTCGCCTCATCCATATTGCCTCCTCGCCTCGGTCCAGCACCCCCCCCCCCCCACTCCCCACACCACCTTTAATTAATGAATTCATCATTAATTGGCTTCAGAGTGCGCGTGGACCCTTCGTCATTCGCGCTCACGCTGCGGCGCGCCTCGCTCTGGCCCTGCCGCTCAGATTCCGTGCACCGCGCGATCGTGGGGGGCAGCGGGTGGGGGGCAAAGGGTGGGGGGGGGGCACGGGGTGTGGTGCGGGTTTCCGTTTATGCGTCGCCTCTGCGCCCGACCTGAGGGTGCGAGCTAAAAGGCTCCGCTCGAATCCGCGCCGCTGTTTCACGTTCACGACGAGTGACAGTCCAATTACAGAAATAACGAGGGCGGCGGCGGGGGCGGGGGGGGGAACCCCGTCCGTGAGTTGGCTTCTCGTTGTGCTGTTGACTATAAGTCGGGAGAGCGTTGGAACGCCGCCTAAAGCGCGGTTCACCAGAGATATGCCCAGGAGAGAAGGAATGGGTGGTGGTGATGGTGGGGGTGGCCACAGATGAAAATGCCTCTCGGGCCGGTGTATCGACATCTGCAACATTTTATCGACACCCGGTTGAATGGACGCGCACTTGGCCATTGGATACAAAACACTTCTCTGCAGATGCCCATGGCTGCATGGTACGCCCAAATCTAGAATTAATGCCCTCTACGGGGAGGAATTCCACCTATCTGTTATCTTTATTTTATTTTTATTAATTTTCATGTTTCACCTACGTGACTTTACCGAAAAAACCTAAGATTATGAATCCTTGCAGTCACGAAAGCTTCAAATCTAGAATTAATGCCCTCTACGGGGAGGAATTCCACCTATCTGTTATCTTTATTTTATTTTATTTTTTATTAATTTTGATGTTTTACCTACGTGACTTTACCGAAAAAACCTAAGATTATGTACGCCCACGTGTCCGTATGTATGTGCATTGAATTTCCTTTGCACCGCACGGAGCCAACCGTGCTAATCGTAGCTAAGTGTGTAGAATCGGCCCAGCAACAGTTCTGGCACTGATTACTCGCTTCTGTTCGCTGTGGCTGGGAATTGAACTCAGGTTACGAGGTTCATAGTGCAGTGCGCTAACCAACTGTGGCAAGACTTCTCACACCACGGCACTGATATAAGCACGCGCATACATATAAACACATTGCCATACACGTCATGCGCACTTCAATGGAGCACATGCGTGCTTATACGCATACACAACAAAGACACAGATCCCCTTGAGAGCCTTTCATAGGCTGTTGGGGCAAGTGCTGTTAGCGAGTAGCGCTTATGAAGGCCGGCACGGTACACGAGGGGTGGGTGGCCAGCACCACGCCAGTGGCGATGTATACACGCCGCACCAAGGTACATATCTGAAACTGAGTCGACATAGGGGAGGCCCATGACTGGTTCAGATAATCGTTACTGGTGTTAGCCGTGAGCGGGAAATAACTCGCACCACAGGATTCGTAGCGCAATGAGCTAACCGCTGAACCACTGCTCCCAGTCACACACGCACGGACACAGCACACGCACACCGGTGGGATCTTCAGTGTTCCTGGAATAGGTCACATCATTAGGCCGACATATTTTACCAATGAAGTTGAATATTTTTGGTCCTTACCCTAAGAATAGAACCATACCCTCCAGCACTGGTCGAGAAGGTGGAAGTGGACAATACCCCCCCCCCCCCCCCAGCTTTTGTAGTAAATTTGAAGGCTCCACGTCGCACGCTCCAATTAACTGCCCACACTTGCGCATGGGTCACTGCAGCCTTCGTCGAATAGAAAATAATATCCCCCCCCCCCCCCTCGTCACGGAGTG